CCAGGCGGGTCTCGAACCCGCGGGCTCAGGCAATCCACTCACCTCCCAAAGGCGCGGGATGACAGGCTGAGCCACCCAGCCCGGCTTTACCCACAGAATTTTAATGCACACTAATAGATCTTCTAACTGGCAGATTACCTAGCCCCACATCCCCATTTTATAGGTGGAGATACTGAGGCTGAGGGCGCCCTAGGCTATCCAGGGAATAGTGGCAGATATGTGACTAGAAACTAGATTAAGTAACTTCACATGGATCTGGAATAAGTGAAAGAGTCGCAAACTCCAGGGCCTCCAGGGCCAGGCAAATTATGCAACTTGGTAAGAAGATAGGGCTTAAGATGGGAGGTGGAAGTTTTGACCAGTGGATCCCTGTGCCTGACATAGATAGGCATTCATATTTAGAAATTAAGCAAGCAACACATGGGCCAAATGAAAAATATCTGTGGGTCAGACCCAGCCAGCAGGTGCCGGTTTTAACTTTTAGAGAGGGTACGGGGCATGGGCATTCTACAGACCTGGTTTTAGATCCTAAATGCCAGTTATTAGCTGTGACCTTGGGCAAATTGTTCACCCCCATCTAAGACTCAGTTTCCTCATCTGTAAAATGGATTCTTTGTGTGTGTGTGTGTGTGTGTGTTTGTGTGTGTGTGTTGGAGTCTCACTCTGTTGCCCAGGATGGAGTGCAGTGGCACGCTTATGGCCACTACAGCCTCGACCTGCTGGTCTCCAGCGATCCTTCCACCTCAGCCTTCCAAGTAGCTGGAACTACAGGCGAACGCTATCACGCCTGGCTAATTTTTTGATTTATTGTAGAGACGAGATCTCGCCAAGTTGCCCAGGCTGGACTCGAACCCCTGGACTCAGGTAATCCTCTTGCCTCAGCCTCCCAAAGTGCTGAGATTACAGGCTTGAGTCACTGCACCTGGCCTGTAAAATGGATTCTAATTCTACCTCTCAAAACTGTTTGAGAAGTCAATAAGGTAATGGGAGTAGGGTGCTGGAGCCCAAGTAAGCACGCAGCGTGAGGTGGTTGTGGAAATAATCATGACTGTCAAGTCCTTCCCTCTAGGTGCTTCCTTTGTAACTTGAACAGTCCTGACAAGTCAGCAAAGGCAGGGTTGCCATCCCATTTTGCAGACGAGGCAGCTGAGACCAAAAGAGGAATGACTTACCCAAGGTCACCCAGCCGTCAGTGACAGCAATCAAGTGAGTGTGTCCCTGCGCCTCTGTATCCTCGGGCTCTCAGAATAGTCTTCTCCTGGGTTTGCTCTACTTCCCCTACCCAGGGCTGGGCCAAGAGGGCAGTGCCTCTTTCCCTCCCCTACTCATGTCCAGTGTCACTCACATAAGTTTGCAGCAGCGTTGATGTATTTTTCTGCATATAGAGGGCCAGACTATAGGCTTGATTGATGGGCTCAGCTGGAGAGATGGGGGCTGCCGGACTGAGGGGTGGCAACAACAGGGTCAGTAGGCAGAGGGGACCTGGCAGAGGAAACCAGAGGTCAGCACCAAGTCCCCAACCCTGCCTGCCGACTCAGTCATTCATTTTAACAACTCCTGAAAAGTTGCAGTGCTTGTGGCCTACAGCAATCCTGTAAAGCAAAGTCAGGGCAGAATCATCCTGTAGGTATTTAATAGCTGTTTCCAGCCCGGAACACTCCACTGGACTCCAGACCCATGTATTCAACTTCCTACTTGACATTTTCACTTGGATAGTAGTAAGCATCTCAAACTCAAAATGCCCAGTATTAAGACCAGGCTCGGTGGCTCAACCTGTAATCCCAGCACTTTGGGAGGCCAAGGCAAGTGGATTGCCTGAGCTTGCGGGTTTGAGAACAGCCTGGGCAACTTGGCGAGTCCTCATCTCTACAGTAAATCAAAAATTAGCTGGGTGCGGTAGCGCACACCTGTACTTCCGTCTACTTGGAAGGCTGAGGCGGAAGGATCAGCGGAGCCCAGCTGGTTGACGCTGGGGCGGCCGTGAATGCCATGGCACTCCAGCCTGGGTGACAGAGTGAGACTCCAACTCAAAAAAAAAAAAGCACAGTATTCAACTCTGGATTTCTTCCTCCTGCCCTGGTCTCCCCTATCTCAAGTAAGAGCTTGCTCAGGCCAAAGCCATGGAGTCCTCTTTGATGCCTCATTTTTCCCCCATGGTAAATCCTATTGGCACTATCTTTTTTTTGAGTCAGAGTCTCACTCTGTCACGCAGGTTGGAGTGCAGTGGCATGATCACAGCTCGCTGCAGCCTCGACCTCTCAGGCTCAAGCAATCCTCCCTCCTCATCCTCCTGAGTAGCTGGGACTACAGATATGTGCCACCATACTTGACTAATTTTTTTTCTTTTTTGTAGAGATGAGATTTTGCTATTTTGCCTAGGCTGATCTTGAACTCCCGGGCTCAAGCAATCCTCTCACCTCAGCCACCCAAAGTACTGGGATTCCAGTCGTGAGCTTCCACGCCTGGCCGAGCTCTTTGCTTCAAAGGTGCTTTTTGATCTGAGTGTTTCCTGATCGATCTGAGTGTAGGTTATAAGGATATGCTCACTTTGTGAAAATTTACTGAGCTGTCCACTTATGACTTGTGTACTTTTCTGTATATTTGTTACCTTTTTTTTTTGAGTCAGAGTCTCACTCTGTCGCCCAGGCTAGAGTGCAGTGGCACACTCAACTGCCAATGCAATCTCAACCTCCTGGGCTCAGACGATCTGCCCACCTCAGTCTTCCAAGTAACTGGAACTACAGGCATATGCCACCATGTACCACTAATTTTTTTGCTTATTGTAAAGACAGAATCTTGCTAAGTTGCACAGGCTGGTCTTGAGCCCCTGGACTCAAGCAGTCCTCTTGCCTCTGCCTCCCAAAGTGCTAAGATTACAGGTGTGAGTCACCACACCTGGCTTGTTACTTTCTTTCTTTTTTTTTTTTTGAGTTGGAGTCTCACTCTGTCGCCCAGACTGGAGTGCAGTGGCTGCTCCCAGCCACCACAGCCTCGACCTGCTGGCCTCCGGCAATCCTTCCGCCTCAGCCTTCCAAGTAGCTGGAACTACAGGCGCGCGCTACCACGCCTGGCTAGTTTTTTGATTTATTGTAGAGATGAGGTCTCGCCAAGTTGCCCAGGCGGGTCTCGAGCCCGCGGGCTCAGGCAATCCTCCCACCTCAGCCTCCCAAAGTGCTGAATTACAGGCTGAGCCACTGAGCCCAGCCGGCTTGTTACTTTCAATAAAATTTTTTTTTTTTAGTTGGAGTCTCACTCTGTCGCCGAGACTGTAGTGCAGTGGCATGCTCCCAGCCACCGCAGCCTCAACCTGCTGGGCACCGGCGATTCTTCCGCCTCGATCTTCCAAGTAGCTGGAACCATAGGCGCATGCTACCACGCCCAGCTAAATTTTGATTTATTGTAGAAACAAGGTGTCACCAAGTTGCCCGGGCTGGTCTCAAACCCACGGGCTCAGGCAATCCACTCACCTCGGCCTCCCAAAGTGCTGGGATTACAGACTGAGTCACCAAGCCCAGCCTTCAATAAAAAGTTTTAAAAGCTGAAAAGATGTATCCAGAATCTAACCACTTCTTCTACTGCTACCACCTCTGCCCAACCACTATCCCTCCCACCTGAACAGCAGTCCCTTTCCTGGTCTCTTTGCTTCCACCCCCTGCACGTCCCCCAAGTCCAACCATACCCCTCCCTGGCTCCAGCATTTCCACGGCTCCCACCTCACTCAGAGTAAAAGCCCAAGTTCCCAGTGTGTCCTACAAAGGCCTGGCCCCGAGCACTGGCCTTCTTGGTTTCCTGCCAGCATTCCTCCCTCAGGCCTTTACCCTTGCTGTCCCTGTCACGACCCCCCAGGCCTTTCCAAGCCTGGCTCCTTGTTTCTTCAGGCTGAGCTCAGACAGAAGTCCCTCCCTCTCCCTGTTATATCGTCTGCAGAGACTTTTGCTGTCGGAAGTGATCTCATGTATTTATTTGTTCACTTGCTGGCTGCTGTCTCTCCTGCTAGAATGTCAGCTTCCGAAAAGAAGAAACTTCACCGGGCTCCTTCACTGCTGACTCACCACAACAAACTTTTGTTGAATGAATGAATCAGTGAATGTATGATGCCATGAGCATCCTTGTCCCAGCATCCTTGTCCCAGTCTCCCACTTTTGAAAGTGGGAGAATCTGGATTGTAGGGCTGTTTATTTTACAATTGAATAGATGCTGTCAAATTGTCATCGTGAAGCTCTGGCTTTATATTCTGGTTTATGTTCTCACCAACAGTGTTTGGTCACCAGCGGGGAGCAATGGAGATGAGAGGCAAACCCAGATGTCCGCTTTCATCTCTTTCTACATTCCTGAGTTCCCGGAAGTCCAGAACCAACAAAGAGAAGGCTGAAAGGGAAGGCCCATTCATTTATTCATTCAACAAACTTGGATCATTGCCTGGATCTACCACACTAGCTTTACAATCTACTTATTTAGTATATGTATTGTGTGCCCATAGACTGGAACCTCCTTGAGGCCATGAATTTTTCTGTTTGTTCACTGCTGTCCCCCCAATGCTGAGAACAGCACCTAGCACATAACAGGCACTCAATAAACATTTGTCAAATGAATAATGAACGAAACCTTCTCTGTGGAAGGATTTGGAGGTTTCCAGCAGATGCAGAACCAGCCGGGCGCCTGAGTTGGGGAGCCAGAGGGGCTGGACAGTGCTCTCTCCCCTCCTCCAGGCCCTGGCACCCTTGCCCCCTCACTCACCCAGTAGACAACTCATGCTCTCCTCGGCTCCTTCCTCTCTGCAGTCTCTGGGTCTTTCCAGGACACCTCTGCTCCCGTCCCTCAGATGGCTTTATACCTGGGGCTGTGCTCTGGGGCCACCCAAGAGGGCGGGAGGGAGTCACACCCTGGGGAGTGGGGGTGGGGGCAGCGGGCAGGGTCCTGGCAAAGAATGAGAAGCAAACCTGGCACAGGACAGGACAGGGAGAGGTCTGGGAGGGACCCAAAATAGAGCACATAGTCAGACAGAGAGGCCTGGGACTCGAGGGGCAGAAGCAGAAGGGGCAGGGAACAGGTAGGGAAGGGGACACTAAAGTGACACCCTAGACCCCTGCAGCTCCCAAACTCGAGTTTAAACTCTGGCAGCCGGGAGGGAGAGGGCGAGGGCAGGGAGGGGATTATCGGGGGACAAAGGGGCCGCCCAGCTGCCTGTTGCTCTGCACGTCCTGGGATCCAGTTTCCCCTGAGGAGGCGGCCCCCTGCTCCGCCCCACAGGGACCCAGGCACTCAGCCCTAGCTCCTAAGGACTTTGGAAGAAGGACAGGAGGGGCCCTGTGTGAGCACCATCACCCACACCAGGGGCACCCTAAGACACAGGAGCATGCACACATCTACACACATGTGAGCATACACCAGACACGAGAACACACTGACATATCTTAATTCACTCAAATATGTATGGACCCTTGCTGTGTGCCAGTTGCTGTCCTGGGTGCTGGGGACAGAGCATGGGCTGAGACAGACAAAAATCCCTGCCCTCCTGGAGCTGACACTTTAGCAGGCATGGCTACATACACGTCAGATCAAGCCAGACCTACTTGTTTCACATCCAGAGTCCCAGACATATGAGAACACACATGTGCACAGAAGCACACAGACAAGTAAACACAGTGCACACTTTGAGGTCCAGCCTCCACAGAGGCACAAGATGTACACACAGAGGGGTACATGCCCACCCACGTGCACGTAGACACGCATGCACACGGGCACACATGCAGCCGGGGATCAGAAATCCTGGGATTCAATTACACCAGCTCTACTGGGAGATCTTGTCCCACTGCCCAAGCACCATACACATGGACACACATAGGCACACACACTGAAGTACTGTCCCCCGGGGAAGCCTTGCGGCAGAGGGACAGGGTCAGGGAGGTGGGTTCTCAACCTCTCCACAATGGAGTGTATGTTTACTTCTCACCCCTGCCTACCCTCTGAGTCAGAGATGGATCAGTCTAACCCCCTACAATTCCATCGGGGGCGGAATTGCCCCACCCTACCTCCCCTGGTTAGAAGGTGAAGTGGAGGCGGGGCACCCAGACGTTCACTCAGTAGAAATTTTCTTTTTTGAGTCAAGGTCTCACTTTGTCACCCAGGCTGGAGTGCAGTGGCACTATCATGGCTTACCACAGCCTCAACCTCCTGGGCTCAGGTGATCCTTCGGCCTCAGCCTCCTGAGTAAGCTGGGACTACAGGAGCATACCACCACATCCGGCTACTTTTTTCATTTTTGTGGTGACAAGTTGTTACTATGTTGCCAGGCTGGTCAGTAGATATTAATAGAGCACCTACTATGTGCTGGCACCAGCGTTTGTAATAGGCAGGCCGGGTCCCGGCCTCATAGGCATACAGTCCCATGGAGAGACCAACGGTAAACATGCGAACTAATAAAAAAGAGTTTCCAAAGTGACAATGTACTAAGAAGAAGCCAAGACAGGTTGATGCGATTATCCTGGGGTTGGGAGAACTTACAAAAGGAGTTTGGGTCCAGAAAGGGACGGCGACTTACCTGGAGTCACACTGCAAAGCCAGGGCAGAGCCTAGACTCCTGCCCCTAGCTTGGGGCTGGATGTGGGGTGTCTCAGATCTATCGTGTGGGCTGAAGAAGGGAGGGGGCTGAGGAAAAAGATGGGTTCTGAGTGGGGGTCCTCAGGCCTGGGGTCTGCCAAGGCTGGCAGGCAGGGCCTTGCCGGGCAGGCAGTGATGTCAGGGGATTAGAGTCGGCCCATTGAGCGGGTGCACTGAGGCGTGGGCAGAGCCATGGTAGTGGAGGAGGGGAAGCGGAAGGCAGATACCCGATCTGCGGCTATTCTCAAGTGGACGGTGTACGTGGGGCCAGGCCTCACCTGAGAGGGAAGGCTAACCCCTCCGGCCTCTCCCGGGCTTCACTTCCTCTCTGTCTCTGGACCCCCAGGTGCCCTTCACAGCTGGAAGAATTAGCCCCCATCCCAGGCCCAGCTCCGTTGTCCAAGGCCTCCCCCCACCCTCTGTCCTGGTCCACCTGTTTCCATCTCTGTTTTGGCCTCACCAGAAGCTGACACCTTGGGAATCTCAGCAATTTAGGAGTCAGCAGCTTGGGTTCAAGTTCTGCCTTTGTTCATCACTAGCTTGGGTAAGTTCCTTAGCTTCTCTGAGTTTTAGTCTGTTGCCTTATCTGGAAACTGGGGTAATAATTCCCACTCACCTGAGCCCGCAGGTTCGAGACCCGCCTGGGCAGGTGAGACCTCATCTCTACAATAAATCAAAAAATCAGCCGGGTGTGGTAGCGCGTGCCTGTAATTCCGGCTACTCGGCAGGCTGAGGCGGAAGGATCGCCAGAGCCCAGCAGGTGGAGGCTGCGGTGGCCGGGAGCTGCCACTGCACTCCAGTCTGGGCGACAGAGTGAGACTCCAGCTCAAAAAAAAATAAAAAATAAAAAATAAAAATAATAATAATAATAATTCCCACTCACAGTCTCTCACTGAATCCTGCTATGAGGCCCATTCCAGGCCTGTCAAGGGTCACCACAATGTAGCACATAATGCCCCAACCAATGGCAAAAGACTCAGCGTCCCGTGACCCTGTGCTTGGAGCCCCGTCCCACCCTAGCCATACATGTGCTCTCGAGATCCAAAGCTTGTCAAGCATGACCCAACGTCATCTAGCAAACCACACAATGAGGCCCATTCAGAACAAATACAAATTAACTCCAAGCCATATTCTCACCCAACATTAACCCCAACCCTAACCCCATTCCCAACACTGACTACAAATCTTCACCCCACCTTAGGTGGAAGTGCTAGGCAGGTTTCAGAACTAAACAAGGCCAACAAAGAGGGCAAAGAGATTGCTGGCTAGTGGCCAGGCACGGAGGCTCATGCCTATAATCCCAGCACCTTGGGAGACTGAGGTGGGAGGATCACTTGAGGCCAGGATCAGCCTGGGCAACATAGCAAGACCCCTGCCTCTATAAACACACATACATACATACATACATAATATAAAAATAAATTGGTAGCTAATGAGATGGGAAAAAGCAAGGGTCACCTTGTCCCCTCCTGTCACCCTCATATTTTCCCTTTTTTTTAGCCAGGGTCTGTCACCCAGGCTGAAGTGCAGTGACACAGTCATGGCTCACCACTGCCTTGACCTCTTGAGCTCAGGTAATCCTTCCTCCTCAACTTCCCCAGTATTGAGACTACAGGCATGTGCCATCACACCTGGCTAATTTTTTTAAAATGTTTTGTGGAGACGAGGTCTTGCTATGTTGCCCAGGCTGTGGACTCAAGCGATCCTCTTACCTCAGACTCCCAAAGTGCTGGAATTATAGGCGTGAGCCACCACACCTGGCTCATACTTTTCCTTGACTCCCCAGTGCCCTCAGGATGAAGTCCCAGCTCCACCCAGCCTTAAGGCTTTCGATGCCCTCCATTCTCCCCATCCCTCGGTCCTGGCACAGCCTTGAAACTTGCTTTTCTCTTTTCCCCACCTCTGTTCCAGCCACACTGTCTACTGAGAGTTCCCGCTGACACCAGGCCTTTCCTGGTGTGATTCTTCCTGACTAGAAAACTTTCCTGCTCTGCTTTCACCTAACACAACCCTTCTCATATTTCCACTTGGGCTTTACCTCCCCCAGGAAGCTTTCCCTGTCTCCAATGCCCCTAGTTGTGTGTGTGTGGGGGGGCTCCTTTGGGCCGTCACAGCCCCCTGTGTTCCTTCTGTCCATTTACTGATCAACCTGCAACATAATTCTGTCCCCCACCAAACAGAAATGCAGGATCTTGTCATCTCCATGTCCCCAGCACCAGGCCAGACTCAAAAAAGAGATCTCGGTGAGTGTTGATGCAAGACACAAAGAGGACAGAAGCATCATGTTTCCAACCAGGGGTTCTCCAAGGCCACGTCAATGAGTTGAGTCTGCTGAGAAAAGTGCCTGATCTTGGGACATACCCATGTCGGTGTCTCGTCTTGGTAGTTGGTGAGCTAAATCCAGCCCCAAGCTAGGGGCAGGAGTCCTAGGATTTGCCCTGGATTTGCGATTTGCTGTATGACTCGAGGGAGTGGAGTGTGCCAGTGCGGGGTACACAGAAGAGATGCCCCAACACAGGGAGCATCAGGGGAGGAGTACCGTGAACTTCATCCACTAATTCCATGAAGCTTTACAAAGTGCCGTTTTAGAAACTGGGAGATGATTGTGACCAAGACACAGCCTTGCAACTTAACCTTCTTCTTCTTCTTCACCATCACCATCACTAACATTTTTTTTTTTTGAATCGGAGTCTCACTCTGTCACCCAGACTGGAGTGCAGTGGCCGCTC